AAGGTCAATAAATGTGTTGATTATATAAATAAATTGATAATTGCCTAGAAAACTCAAAGATTATAAATTGCCCAAAAACATATGAAAAAGTATGCAATCATATACTTTTATACAAGATAGCATTCTTTGCCCACTAAATTGGCCAATACTTAAAGAGATATCTGATAATGCCTGTATCGATGAAGGGTTTAGGGAAATACTCATATATTCCTCATAGGCGTGTAAATTTGTACCTTCTTAATGGAATATTTGGTAGCATAGATCAAATACTTTAATTAATATATGAGTCAGAAATGGACTTTGCAAATTTGAAACTCCACTTAATGTTTCTCCAACCTTCTAAATTCCTTTTCAAAGGTAAGTGGGAAAGTTCACAAAACAATATATTTAATTCCCTTTCAATCATGGTTTCACTTTCCACCATTTCAGTTACCTGTGGTCGGAAAATATTAATTGGAAAATTCCAGAAATAAGTAATTCATAAGTTTTAAATTTCATGCTTCTGAGTGATGAAATCTTGTGCTGTCCCATTCCATCCAGCCCAGGACCTGAATCACCCCTTTGTCCAGTGTATTCACACTATATAAGCTAAACATGCCACTTAGTAGCCATCTTGGTTATCAGACTGAAACACAGTATATATAGGGTTCAGTACCATTCAAGGATTCAGGCATCTATTAGAGGTCTTGGAACATATCTTCTGCTGATAAGGTGGGGACAACCATAGCTGGAAATGCCTGTAGCACATGCCTTCCTTCTCTTTGACAGATTAGAGAGAATGCCCTACACCAAGTCAATGGCATGTAAGAACTCTATTTCCAAACTGGAATATGTGATGGTCTTTTACTTTTATCTTTCCCCTCATCCTCTCCTTCCCTTTCTTCCTTCAACTACATTGTGGGTGGCATGTCATATTATTATATAAAGCTATATATTCCCACCCCATTAATATCAGGAGGCACTATATAACTCACTTTAGCCAACAAAATAAGGAAAGTAATGTGTATCACATCTGAGCTGAATCTCCAATAACTAGCTGGTAGTTTGCCATGCCAATTTTTCCCTTGCCAGGAGACCAGTTATGTTCCTAGCAGAGGCTAACTAGTCAGGCTAAGTCATGGTATGATGATAATGTAAAGTAGTCATAGCAATTTGGACAGATATGTGGTATGAGTGAAAAATACATCCTTCTTGGGTAAAGACATAGAGATTTTGTTATCATAGTTTATCCCAGCCAATACTGATCAGATGGCTAAATAGCCTGAATTTGAGTATTAGTTCTACCAATTACTGGCTGAGTTCAAATTAAGGTCTGCATTTCTTGTGTAAACTTAGCCTCAGTTCCTGCAAAATAGGATTTTTAATGATGTCTAGCTCATAGGGTCATTACGGGGAAAAAGTGACTTAATAAAAGACTAAATGAGTTATTTGTAAAGAGTTTAGAATAGTGCCTAGCAAATATTAAGTACTGTGTGAATGTTGGTTAAATAAATCTGAGTGGGCCAGGTGAGGTGGCTAATGCTTGTAATCCCAGCACTTTGGGAGGCCAAGGTGGGAGGATTGCCTGAGCCCAGGAGTTCAAGACCAGTGTGGGCAACATGGTGAGACTCCTATCTCTATAAAATGAAAAATGAATAAAAACAAATGTGTGTGTATATGTATGTGTATTGTCTATTAGAAAAAGTCTAGGAGGCATACAACAAAGTATTAACATCGTGAATTTAAGAATTTTCTTCTTTTTGTTTAGCCACACCTTTTCTACAACAAATATGTATTTCTTTGTAATTAAAAATGTGTATTTGGCCAGTTACAGTGGCTCACACCTGTAATCCCAGCACATTGAGAGGCTGAGGTGGGAGGATTGCTTGAGCCCAGGTGTTTGAAACCAGCCTGGGCAACATAATGAAACATCATCTCTACAAAAAAATACAAAAATTAGCTGGACATGGTGGCATGTGCCTGTAGTCCCTGCTGCTCTGGAGGCTGAGGTGGGAGGATTGCTTGAGCTCAGGGAGGTGGAGGCTGCAGTGAGCCATGTTCACCTGGGTGACAGAGTGAGACCCTGTCTCAAAAAGAAAAAAAGTGTATTAAAAAATTCCAAACTACTTTTGTATTCTTTAAAAAAATTGTAATTTAAAAATTATCACTTTATTATAATTTCATTATATCACTTTACAGAAACATCTCTTTACAGAAACATTTTTTCATGATGAAAAAACATTTTCATCATGAAAGTCAGTAGAAAAACAGGTTTCAGTATGTGAAAGCTCTATTAATAGCAATTTTCTTGAAGCATGGAATGGGCAAATCCTGTAGCCAAAATCTGTAGAATGAAACTAAATGTTTAATTAGTGTTATTTACATATTATCTTGCATATGTGCCCTGAAAATGTCTTGATATCTAATATGACTGAAATGTGTCTCCCAAGATAAGATAAAGTAGTTTAGCCATTAATAATTATACCCCTGTTTCTGAGTCAGGCTCAAAAGTCAATGAAAGATGAGCTGTGGTTTCTAATATTATTACAGCCTTGGGAGAGATAGATCAGTGAGCAGTAGCCTGACTTTTGATGGAAAAAGGCGAGGGTAAGATCAGGTCACTTGTTGGGCTTTTATCATTGCAACAATCTTCCTGCTCCCTGCATCCAACTCTTTTAATTCTGGCTGGGAAGAAACATTGGCAAGGATTTACATAGAAAAACAATGCCTGAAGAGCAATCACAATATCCATATATCTTACTAGCCATAGCCATCACAACAGGAGAATGCCACGCCAAGAACAAGGGTGGGAGAGCAATGGGGTCCCCTTTCAATTTTTCTGAGACAGGGTCTCACTCTGTCACCCAGACTGGAGTGCAGTGGCATGATCTCAGCTCACCACAACTTCCGCCTCCCAGGTTTAAGGGATTCTCCTGCCTTAGCCTCTCTAGTAGCTGGGATTACAGGCATATGCAACCACCACCAGGCTTATTTTTGTATTTTTAGTAGAGACAGGGTTTCACCATGTTGGTCAGGCTAGTCTCAAACTCCTGACCTCAAGTGATCCACCTGCCTCAGCATCCCAAATTGATGAGATTATAGGCACGAGCTACCACGCCCGACTCCCCTTTCATTTTTCTTCTCCATACGTATCAGATAGGCTTTCTGTTTTTGGTGGTGGGGGTGGGGTGTACCTTGAGTCACCTCGGGAGGACTGAGAAGACTAGTCTGGATGGTAGACATTTTATAACAGATACCTAATTCCAGGGAGGTCAAGTCTCAGAGCGGAAGGATGAATGACATTAAGCTAGTGGGAGGGGTAAAAGGAGGTTATTCTAAGTACGGGGAACACCATATAAAAAGCTCATGGTAATAACATCAAAAAAATAAAATCATAATAAATGAAATAAATCCTCTACACAGAAAATTACAAAATATTTCTGAGTAATTAAAGGAGAACTAAACACATGCAAAGATATCTTCATAGATTTTAAGATTCAGTCTTGTTAAGACATTAATTTTCCTCAAGTTAATCTGAAGAGAACAGGCAATACCAAAAATCCCAACAAGCTTTTTTGGTAAAATTTAAAAAATAAATTGATAAGCCAATTCTATGATTTATCTGTAGATACAGTGGATCCAGAACAGCCAAAATAATCTAGAGAATGAAAAATAAAATTGGGAGACAAACTACCTGATTTCCAGATTTACTATAAAGCTACAGCAATCAAAACAAACAGATGAATGGAAGATTAGAGAATTCAGAAATAGAACCATACATACAGATCAACTGAGTTTCAACTGAAGTGCCAAGGCGGTTCAATGAAGAGAGGAAGGGATTTTTATTTAATGATGTTGAAACAACTATATATTCCTCAAAACCTACCTACCTTTATATGTGAGTTTGATTTGAGATCGATCGTAGACCTAAATGTAATAAGCTAGGACCATAAAGTTTCTACAAAGAAAATCTTAGGAGAAATCTTTATAACGTCAGAGTTGGTAAAATTTATTAGAAAAGACACAGAAAATATTAATCATTAAAGTAAAAGGGTAAATTAAATCTTCATCACAATTAAAACATTCATTACGAAAATAAGTAGGTAAGCCACAGACTTGAAAAAATATTCTCAATGTGTTTACTTGACAATATTTAATGGGAATATTCTATATCTGATTTCAGTGATGGTTGCATGTGTATATACAGTTGTCAAAACATCTCAAATGAATACTTAAAAATCTGTTATTGTATTGTATATAAATTAAACCTCAATTAAAAGGAGAAAGTCCAGAATAAGAGAGCATGTTGTTATCTGTAGGCACAAATGACTAAAATACTCAGGGCTAATGGTTAATTCTTTTTAAAAATTTTATCCCAGAAGACACAATTCCAATATGTCTCCCACCCCAACCCATACTGCCCTGTAAAATATTCCTATATTTTAATCCATAGTGATGATCAATGAAAGTGCTTTCTCCTCATGATACATATTATACAGGGGTTGAAAACATTAAAATAAATCTCATATGGAATAAACTGAGACATGTAAAAGTTAAAGAATTAGCAGCATTGAGAGAGGATGCATCATTTGTCTTTTAAAATGTTGGCTGGCAGAAAAAGAATTTAAAGAGAACTATTCAAATAAGCTTCCATATTCTGCACTCCTCACACCACTAATAAGTTTTACCCAGAAATATACCAATAAAAATGATTGATATCTGAGTAACAAATCCTGTGACAACACATTGTAGTATCACATAAAGAACTTGGCCAGCTGCGGGGGCTCACGCCTGTAATCCCAGCACTTTGGGAGGTCGAGGCGGGTAGATCACGTGAGGTTGGGAGTTTGAGACCAGTCTGGCCAACATGGAGAAACCCGATCCCTACTGAAATTACAAAAAAAATTAGCCGGGCATGGTGGCGGGTGCCTATAATCTCAGCTACTGGGGAGGCTGAGGCAGGAGAATGCAGAGGTTGTAGTGAGCCAAGATCGTGCCATTGCACTCCAGCCTGCGCAACAAGAGCGAAACTTTGACACACCAAAAAAAAAAAAAAAAAGCTTAACTAATTCTTTAATCTTTTTCTTCTAGATGATTTACTTCCATAGGCAAAACATTATGTCTTTTGCAACTCATCTTTGAATTGAAAAGAATCTAGGCCAAGGTCCTGAAAATACTGGACCCTCAAATTCCACATTCCCATAATAGGAAATTTATTGCAATTATTAATAATTTGAACCAGTGATGGTCTCATTTGGTAATTTATGGGAAATTCATTCATTCATTCATTGGGAGACTGGGTCTCGCTTTGTCACCCAGGCAGGAGTGCCATGGTGCTATCATGGCTCATTGCAGCCGTGACCTCCTGGACTCAAGTGATCCTCCCACCTCATTTTTTTGATTTTTTTGTAGCACAGGCTGGTCTCGATATCCTGGGCTCAAATGATCCTCCTACCTTGGCCTCTCAAAGTGCTGGGATTATAGGCATGAGCCACCATGCCTGGCAGAAATATATTTAAAAGGAGTATATTAAATGCTATACAAGTTCAACTAACCCCAGCTTAAAAATAACTATAATTACCTGACTAGATTTTTTTAAAGTGATAGAAAAAGTACAATTGTTAAAAATATATTTAAAAAAACTCTACTGAGTCTACTTTCAGTCCCCATGTGAATATTTAAGTAAGTATAAAATAAAGGCTGTAAGTGCGCTGTTTTGAATTAAACATCACATTGGCAAGATCAGAAGAGCTTGTGAAGTGAGAAGGAAATTGTTATTCCTGTGATGGAACCTCCACTGGTATTATTCTTTTGGCAGCCGAGACTTCAGGGGATTCTCACTATGAAAACCAGCAGTCCTTTAATCATACATTGTAAGAGCATTTGTGATGCTTTGCAGGGAGCCTTTCTTCCAAGATTTTCCTATTGCTTTCCTTCCTGAGCACAATAGGTTCAAGATGGCTAATGCTGTTTCCTAGTTATGCCAAGAACCTCCTGAATGCCACCGGGCATCCAACGTGAAGACGGATGGCAAAATATCAAATGTGAATGTCTCATTTTAAATGGGGACTCCCACAATCATGTTATTTTTGGGAGAGCAGCTCTCTGGCTCCATGGATATCACTTGAACGGAGTAGCCACATTCTTCTGCAGCTCTTGCTCGATCCAGATCCACCAAGCACATGCACTGTTTTCCTGAAATACAGTCAAATGGTATCATGAGACCCCCTTTCACTAGCAGGACAATTTCAGCTTGTTTAAGGGAATTTATATAGTGACAAAATCTGCAGGTACTATGGAGCATGCTTTGTACCCTTAAGTCTTGTTTAGTTTCTTTCAATTTAATTCTTGATCAGTGTGGAAAGACGATGGTGACAAAAACACGGCACTTCATATATTTGCCTCTGCTAATAATTTAAAGAATGTTAACCTTTTCAAATGTATTTATAAGCAAATCTCAAATTAGAGCCTCAGACTGTATTTCCTACTTTGGTTAAAAATACAATTAAAGACCTTTTCTCTGCTTTCCCTGTAAAACTACATTATCTGTAAAGTTGTGGGAAAAAAATGTGCCTTTAAGAATATTTAAAATAACATGCTGATTAAGGGGTGTCAGCTTTTCCAGCTGAAGTTTTTAGGGCTATAAAGAAGTGAGAAATGAAAAATATTTGAGAAAATTCTCAATTACATGCCTTTTATTTCAGGTGGAAATGTAATGTTGAGTGTAGTATACTCTTAATTTTCCGAGCTCCTGTACCTCTATAAAATAGTGGTATTGTATTTCCTTTACAATCTTTGGAAGACAAAAGAGGAAACCTGACTGGCAAGAAAAGCAGTTAATTTGTTTTCCTTTGGCAAACACAAACTTTAAAAGTAGCTTGGGAAAAATGATTTGGGGCTGAATATATTCAAAGCCATGATTTACTTTTATACTTTCAATTGCTCTAAATTCAATATATAAGCTTCTTCATCCTCCTGGAAAAAGATCACGGACTATGCAGAATTTCATTCGATTTTTCCTAAACAATTATAATAATGCGTCAACACTGAATGATAGTGGAAACTGATAAATTAAACAACTTCAGAAATGAAGACAGATCACCAAAATAGGAAAGTTCTGTGAACAACAGAATCCTCACAGAAAAAAACAGTGGAAGGTGAAATCAGTAGGTAAGAATTAGCAATGAGAGACTCACATTTAAAATGTTTATTTTGTACATTTTCCTTAAAAGGGCCCATTCCACAAAGAATAAACTGTGTTAGAAATGATATAAAAAGGGATGTCTAGAATTCCATTTAGGCAAAATCATCGCTTCTTCATTAACAGCCTTATGGCTGACATTCCTTTTTTTCCCTTAAAATATTGTCTTTCCTTTAAGACATCTGTAAATGTTTCTCCCATCTACTTTTTAGTTTAAAATGAAACACTCTCTGTCAGAATGGGATGCTCTACATTCCTTAAGTACCCACCTGGGGTTTACATTGCAGCTCATTTACCCTTGGCTTTGATCCCAGTCCAGTTAATTTTTCCTTTTCCATTATGTAGAAGAATTTCATGTTTTCACATGTTGAAGTGTCTCTACAACTGAAATTTAGCTGCTGGTAGTCTACCTTTGTGGGCCTGGGGAGTTTCCTAAAAATGTTTGCAGAACACAGGAATGGCCTGTGTAAAGCAGAGATGTAGACGTGACAGCTTTCTCTCAATGTGATTCCCCCTGTTCTTCCCATTGCCAAAAGCCCCTGCCCCCCGCCACTCTAGCAACTTCCGTGCCAGCTACTCCCCTTTAGTTTGATACCTAAGACACACATCTACCACGTACCCATCCATCCACCACACTAATTATGTCTTCATTGGATTGCTATCATTTGAATGTATTCTCTGGAAAGCATGTGTTGGAAATTGAATCCCCAATGCAATAGTGTTAGGAAGTGGGGCCTAATGTGAGGTGATTAGGCCAAGAGGGTGAAGTGAATGAATTAATACCATTATCATGGTAGTGGGTTCATTATCTAGAGTGTGAGCTCCTTATAAAAGGACAAGTTCAGCCTTCTCTCGCTCTCTCTCTCTCGCCATGTGATGCCTTTCATCATGTTATGATGCAGGAAGAAGACCCTCAACAGATGCCAACCCCTTGATCTTGGATTTCCTAGCCTCCAGAAATGTGAGTCAAATAAAAATCTGTTCATTCTAAATTACCCAGTCTATGGTACTGTGTTATAGCAGTGCAAAACAGACTAAGACATGGGTCTAGTGAATGGAGTCTCATCAAATGTATGTTCGATTAATTCAAAGTGTTGGAGATGGGAAAAGGAGGAGCAAGAAGGAAAGGCATTGAAAGACAGAGGTTGCAGGCAGGAGAGAATGAGTTCTTTCCAAATGTTTATGCTGCAGACAGTGAGAAAGAGAAGGAATCACTTACTCCTTCAGTCTCAGGTCTCAGGTCACCAAGTGTGAGCATCTTGCTATGCTGCCTTTGATTTTAGAGTTTAAAGATAACTATTTCTCATACAACTTGGTCTCTGAATGTAAGCTAACAGCTTCATCTGGTGCTCAGCCAAAGAAACAACAATCTGTCTTCTAGTATATCATGGAGGAAAAGGGGCTACATTGGAAATTTAGAGAAAAAATATAATGGTGTCCAATGTTGGGCTTCTCGCAATAATTTTAAGATTAGTTTTGGCTGAACCCACTTATCTTAAACCCTGATGTGACACCAGTATGCTGGGAAGTAGTAACTAAAGTAGACAAGAACTTCATGTCCAGAATCAAATAATTTGGGTTCATAGTATAGCTCCATCATCTACCAGATGAAGGACCCCAGGCAAGCTTTTGTCTCAGTTTTCTTATCATTAAAATGTAAATAATAGTACTACCCCATATGTATATTTGTAAGAATTTACTGAGATAACAGGCGAGAACATTTAGCTCAGTGCTTAAATGTATAACTATTAACTGCTATTATTCTTTTAAATGTGATTTCTTTTTCTAAAATGAAGTCTTCAATAAATCAATTACTTATTAAACTTGAAATGTTTCTGTGGTCTTCCAATTTAGGTAATGTTTAATATTGTCAAACAAATTGGTCTATGATAAATGATACACAAGTATCCTTTTTCCTGAGAAAGAAAACATTATCATCCCTGTGTATACATTTTATAATGCATCAATTTTGGTGTATATAGTTGACTTTTTAATCTTTATTATTTTTCTTTCATGGCTTTTGATAGATCTTGCAGTTTGTTCATAACAATAAGAGATTTAATGTAAGAATTCTACTCAATGTACAAACATTCAAAATACATTTAAAAGTATTAAAGTTAACCAAAATAGGATAAAATGTTATAGTTACAATACCATTTTCAATATGAATTAAGTTTTTGGGGGAAGAACATATTTAGTTTCTCATTGAAAAATAGACTTCATGTTGCTAAATTTTTCCCATATAGACTTGGTCCAATCATTCCCAGTCATATTGTGCATAATACACTCAACAGCTGCTCTGTGAAAACACATACCTATGAGCCTTCGTTGGGGTGGGAGCTGGACAGCTGTCTGGTCTGCAAATCTGCACAGAATCATGTGTTCCTAAAAGAAAAAGCAATAGAATGTGGGTTTATTTTTATCTTCTGCTTCAAAGTTATAAAAACAACCACCAAAAAAACTAACTCATTTTTCTGGAGTTCAACATTGTTTAATTGAATAAAGTACTGCACAAATAGTATTTTTGAAAAAAGTAAACTTTCAGAAGATGCTACTTAATAATTTCTTCCCTTCAAGTATACTGTATTTTTTTGTTTTGTTTTGAGACAGTCTCACCGTCGCCCAGGCTGGAGTGCAGTGGTGTGATCTCAGCTCACTGCAACCTTTGCCTACCAGACTCCCAGTGGTTCTCATGCCTCAGCCTCCGTGTAGTTGGGACTATAGGCACATGGCACCACATCCGGCTAATTTTTTGTATTACTATTATTTTTCTTTTTTAGTAGAGACGGGGTTTCACCATGTTGGCCAGGCTGGTCTCGAACTCCTGGCCTCAGGTGATCCGCCCGCCCTGGCCTTCCAAAGTCCTGTAATTAACAGGCGTGAGCCACCATGCCCAGCCGGCCCAGATTTAGTTCTTAAGAATAGAGGCACAGAAAATTCTCAGGGTCATTTTGCCCAGTTGCTTTTAGCTGAAATATAAAAATATAGTTACATTTTGCTATTATAATGTGTTAAATTAAAAGACCAAAAATTCACTTATATTTTTCTTTTATAAAATTTATTTGCAACTCTGGAATGTGGTTCCAGGCAGTGGCTTTTCTTTTCTTTTCTTTTCTTTTTTTTTTGTGATGGAGTTTTGCTCTGTTGCCCAGGCTTGAGTGCAGTGCTGCAATCTTGGCTCAATGCAACCTCCATCTCCTGGATTCAAGCAATTCTCCTGCCCCAACCTCCTGAGTAGCTGGCACTATAGGTGCACGCCACCATGCTGGCTAATTTTTGTATTTACTTTTTTTTTTTTTTTAGTAGAGACAGGGTTTCACCATATTGGCCAGGCTGGTTTCGAACTCCTGACCTTGTGATCTGCCCACCTTGGCCTCCCAAAATGCTGGGATTACAGGCATGAGGCACTGCGCCTGGCCTGCTAAGTGGCTTTTCATTCTATCAGAGGAAAAGGAAGCAATGCAGATCTCTGTGTGGTTTCTGTAGTTTTCTGGGATATCCAGCAGGGTGGTAGGGAGTTCTTGACTTGTCCTGACTCTTCCCTTTACTCACAGTCCTTTTAGAGGAGAGAAGCCTGAATCTCTTTCTCTCACTCCAAAAGGCTGCAGAAGTGTATCCCTTTCTGCTTTAAGACAAACTGTAAAGACAGCCTGAGGTAAACACCTGATTATTACTTCTGCTTAACAATCTTAGGAAAAGAGTGCATTAATGAAAAAGAAAAGAAGGCTTTAAAATCAGCTGATGATTTTGCACAGTACTCTTAAATCTGCATGTAGCCAAAAGTGAGTGATTAGGCAGAGTCGAAATGAAGCAATGATCCCACGACAACTGTTCATTCAGAACAGCTGTTGTTTCTAAGTGTGTACATAATCTCACCTGTCAGCTTAGCAAACAGGTTAAACTCAGATTCATCATTTGTTCCTTTAGTATTCTGTACATTAAATTTGAACCCTCCATTTTTAATAAGTGAAATGACTGTGGCAATGTTGGTTTTTTAAAAGGGATGTCTTTGTCTCAACTTGTATGCTTTAAAAAAAAATTAATGCTAACTATAAAATTTCATGACAATGGGTGAGAAACTAATAAAATGGTTTCAATTAATAACTTTAACTCCCCACAAACTAACAGGCATCAATGAAGGGAGAGAAGGATAATTCAGAATTACATGACTTGAAGAAACAGTGTGCACTTTGTCCTCATGGTGTTTGTAAATTAAGATTCATTTTATATAACGGTAATGTCAAGGCAATCGCAATCTCAGATAAGATTCAGTTCTCTTGTACTGATAAGTCTCACCATATTTTATTGGAATTATTTGTGTGTATGTTCTCTTTGGTCAAAATCAAGTTCCGAAAGGGCAAGGCACATGGTAGGTACTCAGTAAAGGTTGCTGTCTAAATTGAACTATAGAGAAAAACACTTCCTAAGTGAGTCTCAAGGTACTTTGGCACAAAGTTCTGAGGCCTTCAAAAGGCCAAGCAGCTTTTGGGGGTGTTGGAGAAAGAGTAGATAAAGGTTATGACTGGTGTACTGGAGAGTTTCTGCTTTCTGAAAGACTGTGTGTGCCCCGTCCCTACTGTAGAAATTTTATATTCTTTTCTAGTCAGGAGACCATTAGCAGCCTATCTCTTCACCACCCTTGATTTTCTCCATACATCCTCTCATTGTTTGGTTTAACTAGTATCACTCAAGGAGGGATTAGAAACAGGGGTCTAGTTTTTGTTTTCCCAAGTTCTTTTTTCTTTTCTTTTCTTTCCTTTTCCTTTCTTTTCCTCTCCTCTTCCCTCTCCTCTCCTCTTCCCTCTCCTCTCCTCTCCTCTTCCTTTCCTCTCCTCTCCTCTTCCCTCCCCTCCCCTCTCCTCTCCTCTCCACTCCTCTCTCTTTATTGAGACAGAGCGTCACGCTGTCACCCGGTCTGGAGTGGGAGTGCAATGGCACAATCTCAGCTCACTGCAACCTCTGCCTCCTGGTCTCAAGCAATTCTTGTGCCTCAGCCTCCTGAGTAGTTGAGATTACAGGTGTGTGTCACCATATCCAGCTAATTTTTGTATTTTTAGTAGAGACAGGGTTTCACCATGTTGGTCAGGCTGGTCTTGAATTCTGTTCTCAAGTGATCTGCCTGCCTTGGCCTCCCAAAGTGCTGGGATTACAGGTGTGAGCCACCGCACCTGGCCTGTTTTCCTAATTTATTTTCTACTTTATTGGCATAGCCTTGTGAGAGAAAGGTGAGATGTTCTGAATGCTATGCAAACAAAGTTTCTTGGGTCCTAATGTTTCCTCCAAAATCATATATTTCCTAAAATATGTAAAGTTTTAATCTAGTAGGCGAAGGCCAGCAGTGTTGTGGTTTTGGCTGAAAGCATGAACACTAAAGGTTCTCACCCTCCATATCTGTGCATGTTTGTACAGTGTGCGGGGTTGGTAGGAAGGGAGGAAGGTGTGAGTAGCACGTGAGGTGGTAAGAGACAGAGCTGGAAGTGGGCATTTGAGTTATAAAGCAGGAATGAAGGAGATACAGCTGCTGAGGTGGTAACAATGAACATTTTTAGGTCACTATACCTCATTATATTTCAACTATTTGATGGAAGAGAAAGTTAAAGTCCTAAAATATAGGGGCTGGTATGTAAAATGAGTCTGTTTTTAGTGAGTCTGTGCAAAAAGTGGCATTAACTAAGAATCCAAATGAATTTATCAACTTCTAATGGAATTATTTATATATTTTTCTCAAATATTATCATTTCTTAAATTGTATTATATCATGCTATTGACCAGTTAATTGGATAGTGGTGATGTTTAGGAAGCTAGAAACTGTTTTGATCAGATTGGTGACTAAAAACTATATGTGTTCTGACTACTTTTGGAAGACAATTCTCTGTGGGTCTCTTGTGTTTCTTCATGTTTTACAAGCAGAGACACTGACTGTCGTCGTTCCAGATCAGTAGTCAGCAAGGTTTGTGGCCCACAGGCCAAGTCTAGCCTATGACCAGTTTTTGTGTGGCTTGTGAGTTAAGAAAGTTTTTATATTTTTAAAGAGTTGTAAACCAAGAACAACAAAAACAATAAGAATGTCAAGGACAGTGAAGAGGAATACTTGGAGATTTGTTGTGGCCAGCATAGTCTAAAATATTTACTATCTGACCTTTTACAATAGAATTTTCCTCTGTTATAGATTATCTTTTCAAGCACATTTGCAGAGTAAACAGCCTTGGAAAATATATAGTATCTCCCCTTGGAATAAAAGGGCAGGTGTTACCTGGCCCATTTGCTTCTGCCCTGTGGGAATTGGGTGGCAGAGAGTCAGTGTGAAAACAATGGTATTGTGGCTACCACTACTGCCATGAGCAACAAACTGTCCTTTATCTCTGACTTAGGGGTCTCATATCTTCTGCCAGCATCCACTGGCAGGCTAACTTGTTAGACTGCGAGTAGAGTTAAAATGTCAGACCCTTCACAAATCTTGTTACCTACTTGAAGAGTTAATCTGGATTTGCAAAAGAAAGAGAAAAAGAAACCCACAGTAGACATTCATGAGTTATTCAATTATAACTATAGATTATTTACTCCACTAGAAATATGAGAGGGAAAAATATAAAGGATAAAAAGTGTATTAGGATGACATCTAGATCTTTTTAAGGTTACCTTGTATGATAAAGTTTTCTTGAATTGCTCACTGAAACAGAAAAAAAAAAAGAATTAGTCATCATTCTAAATATTAAGAGTAAAATAATCTTGAAGAAACTAAATTATATAAATAGTCTTTGTATGTAAAAAGTATAAAATGCTATGGTAAAGTAAAAACTATGCCAGTTTGAAATGCTTTTATAAAAAGATAGAAAAGCATATCATCAATATGTTATCAATTTTAAGAAATCTATTCCACAGATTGTTTACAATGTTAGAGAAGCACTTTTTTTGTCTCTACACCTCATGGGAACACTAAGATCCAGGTGTTTTAACATGTGGCACAGCCAACTGATCAGGAGCAGACTGCCATTGAAAAGATACTTTATTACTCACAGTTCCCCAAGGAGAGGGGGCACACCATGTGATGAAGGGCCACATGGGGAAACACCAGTATAGGTCAGGAGGCAGAGGTTTCCATGGGAAGAAAAAGGTGAGGTAAGCAGGTTTGAGAGTGCCTAGTTTGAACAATATCAGTGAACTCAGGCATAGCGCTGTTCCTACTTGTTTGATATCTGGCCCTAGGGTAGTAGGACGAGGGGATAGTGGTCTGGAAGTAGTAAGAGTTTGATAAAGGAGGTAGTTGTGGGGTAAGGGCTCTGGGTTGGTTGGTTTACTTATGCAAGGTATGCTTGTTCATAAGACCTTTACTATCTCTAGGAATTGGTTAGCCCTGGGAGGAACAGTCTCTCCAGGATCAGCAAATAATAAAACATCAGAAAATTTAAAAAGGTGTGATTAATACATCAGGAAATCACTGTTGTCATAGCTAATAAACATATATTCCATAAACATTGTCTTTTATTAATGCTATAGCCTTCACTCTTAAGTCATTCAAAAACATTAACTTATACATTTGATACTAAATTTATTAGTGTCAATTAGTTTGTTTGAAATGAGCACTTCTTTCCACATACTGTAGAAACAGTATGCTATTTATAAATTCCCAACTCTATTTTTGGTGATTGAGATAGGTCTTATTCACAAAGAAACTTCCTAAAGAGATCAGTTCAAAGGACAAGGGAGGACAAATGTCAGTAAATCTACATAGGTGTGAAAAAGACGGGAAGTGGTAGTAACATACTGTAAAGGTCACCAAACGTTGAAGTCAAGCCCAGGCACTGTGGTGACCTGGCCAGATGTGCGTGCACTCAAGGTGGTGCTGACATGCCAGCCCCCACCCCCGCCTCAGCCGCCTCTAGACTTTGGGCGCTGATGAGCATGAGAGGGAGGCCAAGGGGGGACTGAGGGCAGCTTGACATGGGCCTGTAGGCACCCCTTGGCACAAACAGTCTGGGTGCCATGGGCGCCATGGATGGTAGGTTGACGGCAACAGGAGGCAGACAGGCTCCTAGGTAGAAAGGGGCAAGTCCCTGGTGAAGCCCCACCATCAACTGAGGAATGGCCCAAAGCCTGGGGCCCAGGCTGCCAGCTCTGTGGACCAAAGTGAGAACTTATAGTGCTTTTTCCAGGCCCACCCATGGCCACCCATGGACCAATCAGCATGCACTTCCTTCCCTCTGGAGTCCATAAAAACCCCAGACTCTGCCAGACTTGGGCAGACAATAGATGACCTGCCTGTAGAAAGAAGCTACCCACTCTGGATCTCTTCTCTGCTGAGGGTTGCAGAGATGAGGGGAGGGGAGGGGAGGGGAGGGGAGGGGAGGGGATGACCTGCCTGCAGAGAACAGCTCCCCACTGTGGGTCTCCTTCCATCTGAGAGCTGAGTAGACATTGGGATGATCTGCCTATGGAGAGAAGCTACCCTCTGTGAGTCTCCTCTCGGCTGAGAGCTGAGCAGACATTGGGATGACTGTCTGTGGAGAGGATCTACCCACTTTGTATCTCCTGAGAGCTGTACTGTTGCTCAATAAAGCACCTCTTTGCTTTGCTCATCCTCCAATTGTCTGTGTACCTCATTCTTCCTGGATTTGGGACAAGAGCTCAGGAACTGCCAAATGGCAGGACTAAGAGTTGTAACACAAACAGGGCTGACATGTCCCCTTGCCCCCAAATATACCCACTTGCCATGTTGCAAGCATGAGGAGAGAAGAGAGGAGAGAAGAGATGCGGCCCTTCAGGGAACCCAGACATAGAAGCTCCCTGAGCCAGGGCTGTGACACCCTCTGAGGGGCTCTGTGGCTCCTGGCATTTCCAAGCTTCTGGTTGCCACCATGTTCCCTAGTGCTCACAGTGGAAGCTGCTTTCAGTACACCTGGTCCGGCTGCAGCCTCACAGGGAACCAGCACCCATGCTGGTGCCTGGAGATGCCTGCCCCACAGCGGCCAGCATGCCTGGCTGTGTGAAGTGGCCGGACCCTGTGCTTGCTCATTCATGTACCCCTCACCACTCTGTACCTGACTCATCTTTGGCAGGTGTGGGATCTGGACTGGTAGTGCAAGCCAAGAGCAGCCTTCCAGGCTGAGTGAGCGGAATGAGCCCAGTGGGCCCAAGCAAAACTCAGGCAAAGGCGCCACCAACCACAGAGGTTCCAGCTGGCAAAGCAATGCCCCAAGAATCCTGTGACATTACTACCATTATTAGCAACAGTTCATATTTATTGAGTACTTATTATTGCCACTTCTAAAGGCTTTACACATATCATTAAATTTTCACAAAAACCTTGAGGTAGTTATTATCATAACCCTCATTTTGTAGATGAGAAAACTAAGGTAAAAAGAGTTTAAGTAATTTGCCTTATAAAATGATAAGGAGCTAGTATTTTCCCCCAGGCACTATACTTCCAGGTCCTAAACACTTTACTGTACTTGACTGCCTCTCATAGATATTACGGTTATAGTTTTAAATTTATTCAGAAATACAGAGAGAAGTGCTAAAGCCGATAGACTTCTAGTTGCCTGACTCCTGGATAGCCTTGCTTCTAAATTTCAGCAAAAACTGGATCCAAGGGAAAAATCAGGGACAAACATAAAGGAGTTCTTCTCTTCCTTATACAATTTATAAACAAAATTTGACATTGTGAAAAGAGGAAATGAGCTCCAAATGAAGTCACTGCAACTTTATATCAAACAAGTTTTGTGTCCTGGCTTACACCCATGTTGGTGTCTTAGGTAGAACACTAAATTTCTCACCTTTTTGGAAAATTAAACTTTGAGGTGTTCTGAATGAAACCATAACAGCAAGGGCATGTGACGAAGGAAGCCCGTGTTTTGATACAGTGCTCAATCACCATGTCTGTTGCCACTCCACAAGCATGCAATGCTACCTAGAAAATAAAAACAGGCCTTAGCACTAAGTTCCCTCTTAACTCACAGTGCGATTTTCATGCCTTTTAAATAGTTCTCATTTGGCCATACCAAAGGACTACTTAGCTACACATATAAATTAATTAGGAAAACTAAGCAAGTTTGAAAGGTTACACATGGAATATTGCAAATAAAGCACAGGATTCATTCAATGGAAAATCTGATGCAATTTTAGTGTGGAAAAATTAACACAAGTGGATATCTAAACTATAGCATCATTCCAGGAACACTGGATTCGAAACGAGAATTTCGAGTCTATTACTCCGGTTGGCTGTGTAACCCTGAGCCACTTAAAATTTAGCTTCTTTGGGCCTTAATCTCTTCAACTATAAATGATGGTTAACAATACTGACATATCACAATGCTGTTGTAAAAATTAAATAAAAATTTATTTGAAAACACTTCCTCAAATGCCACATTAATATAATCCAATCAGGGCTGTATTAAAACTAATTGAGTCATATCATGTCATGCCTTTTAAGATGTTTTCACATAATAACAATCCTTAACATTGAATGATGAGTTACAGGAACTATTTTCAATGAGTTTATTTTAAAAGGATTGAATGAAATTATGAATTAGAATAATGAGTGGGGCTTCTATAACTCATAAAAATAACTCAAAATGATTTTTAAGTGTTTTTAAAACACATATCCTTAAGTATATCTATACTTACTACAATCTTACTACAAATGAGATAATTATGAAAATTCTTAGGCCAAATAAAGCCTAAATAGGACTCTGAATGAAAATCAGACGTAGGGATTCTAAAAGATGAATAACCTTTACTGGATTTTGGCAAAACAAAAAACACAACACCAAAAAACCCCTCACATCTCCATTTCATTCTGAACAGACATAAATTGTAATAAATTATAATCTTCCCTCACCAACTTCAGGGTAGGGAGGGGCCCTTAGGGTAAAGAGGAGATTTTCTGTAAATTTTAGAAAGTAATTTTTTTTTTTTTTTTGAGCTAGAGTTTTGCTCTTGTTGCCCAGGCTGGAGTGCGATGGCACAATCTCAGCTCACTGCAACCTCCGCCTCCCAGGTTCAAACGATTCTTCTGCCTCAGCCTCCCGAGTAGCTGGGATTGCAGCATGTGCCACCACGCCTGGCTAATTTTGTATTTTTAGTAGAGCTGGGGTTCCACCATGTTGGTCAGGCTGGTCTTGAACTCCCGACCTCAGCCTCCCAAAGTGCCGGGATTACAGCGTGAGCCACCGCACTCAGCGAACGTAAAATATTATAAGCCAGATGCCTCCTTTGAACTGGAAAGCTAAAAACAATACTCTATCAGGAAGAGGAAAGCAAGATCTCTGTTCTTTTTTATTTATTTATCTATTTATTTATTATTATACTCTAAGTTCTAGGGTACGTGTGCACAACGTGCAGGTTTGTTACATATGTATACATGTGCCATGTTGGTGTGCTGCACCCATTGATCTCTGTTCTTAATTGTCCTCCTGAAATCCTCCTCCTCCTTCTAGACTTACATGAGCCACATAGAAGTCAACAATCTCCATGTTGCTGTCATCCCACCTTTCCTGTTTCACTCTGAAAACAGCCTAGGAAGGCTGGTATCCAGTAAAGGCACCAACTACAGGGAATTGGGAAAGTAAATAATCTAGATTTCTCATATGCTCCTTTTGGTCAGCTTTTTCGAGTAAAAAACAGGCTAATCCTTATTTTCATGACTAGTTGGAGAAAAATTTCATAGTAAAAATTATAGACACATCTTCCCCTGGAAGGAAAGCAAACTGACATTTACTGAGTGTTTATGTGCTGGCATTATGCTATGTGGGGTGATGGCACTCAGAACTATACTCACAACATCCCTGAAAGACTTTATTATCTCCAGTTTAGATGTGAGGAAATGAAGTCTTCGGAAATTAAGAACTTGCCCACAACAAAACAGCTACTGAGGGGCAGGATACTGACCTCAAAGCCTGACCCCATGCATCAGACAGCTTCTCTACAAAACCCTGTTCAGGCTCCAAGCAAAAAGGAGTTTAGACAATTTACTTTTATAAGTCTCTCTTTACTTAGGTTCACATTCCTTTCACTACATGCAAAAAAGTGAGTTTATTTCCTTCATTTAAAGAAAATAAGTAACTTGAATAAGTATTTACCCAATAGTTTATAGATAATGTAGTAATTGTCTACTCATAAAAGGTTTTACTGCATCACATACTCCTAGTTTTCACTGTTATCAAATGAAACTCAGAAATAACAGGCAAACAATGAAGAGAGATATAGACCAAAAAAACCATTTGCTATGGAAATTTATCATACAATAAAGGTGGTATTTCAAACCAGAGAGAAAAGGTGGACTTTTTTAAAATAAGTAATGTTTGGTTAACCAGATAGCCATATAAAAAACTAAAAATTAGATCTTTTCCTGTCATCACACATGGGAAATAAATTTTGAATGCCTAAGAGATTTAAAATGCAATAAATATGAGTAAATTCCTGCACAACCAAGGGGAATGGGATGTAATTCCTAACTAAGCTAAAAATCTACGTGCAATAAGGGGTAAGGTTAATAAATCTGACAAGATAAAATTTATTTTTATTTATTTATTTTTGAGATGCAGTTTTGCTCTTGTCACCCAGGCTGGAGTGCAATGGTGTGATCTCGACTCCCTGCAACCTCTGCCTCCCGAGTTCAAGCAATTCTCCTGCCTCAGCCTCCCAAGTAGCTGGGATTACAGGTGCCTGCCACCACACCCAGCTATTTTTTGTATTTTTAGTAGAGACTAGCAGAAAACCAAACCATAAGTAAAAAGACAAATGACAAAGTAGGGAAAAGACTGACAACTTAAAACACAAACAAAGATTTATATCCTTAATATATAACACACTTCTAAAAAGAAAGAAAAAGCCCAATAAAGTGAGAGTAAAATGAGCAAGAGATGTGAACACACATACAAAAACAAGCAAAGAGTCCTTAAACAAAAACTGGTCAATATTGCTCCAAGTAAGAGAAATAACTGTTAATTTTTTTTTTAACAAAGAGCCAAAATTTAAACTCAATCTGTCTGACTTCAAACCAAACTTCTTTTTTTAGTTCTCTATGCTCTATTTACTCTTTTCTTTAGATATGGGAAGTAAACAGGAAGTCACTGACTGGACTTCTAGACCCCGCTTCCACATTAACTTGCTAGGTGACTCTTGTTTTCTGGTAGCCTCAAATTCTCCATCTGTAAAAGCAGAAGGTTGAACTGAATGATCTCTGAACTTGCCCCAGCCCAATCATTCTCTCTGGCGTTGCTTTTCGAAGAAGGATTCTTAACTATAGATACCTTAGACAGAGAAGCAGGCTAGTCCCACCTGTGTACTCTTGTTCCCCTCTTTTAAAACTTTCATACAACAATATTATAGGTAATCAGCTTTAAAATTCAAATAATAGGTAATTGCTAAAAGGTAAGCAATTATATTAAAAGCCCCTTTTTTGTACACACTGCCACACCCCTGAAAGAAAATCTGTATACCAAAGTCAATGCTGTTCAATTCATTGGTTTACTTCCTGAAAATCTGTTTTTCTATATGATGAATGTATATTGATATCTCTTGATTTGTAAATATTAGACATTATTTATTATCTTTCTACTAGGAGAAAAGAGCTTTTGGCTTTTTATGCACATTTATACACTATCTTCCCTTTTCCCATCTTTTCTCATGGCTTTGTATATACTGTTCACGGCCGAGGGAAGAGTGCTGGATATCTGCTTGTTTTTTTAACATTCAAGTCGTTCCCTGCCCAAAAGCTCTGTAAAATGCTCTACAATATAATTTTCCACTGTTTGAAAACTTTAAAATAATTGGTCAGCTCCATTTTTCTTTCCTAGAGACATTTTTCCTGGGCTTTCTGATGTTTTACTAAAATATGGACTCAATGCTTTCTAGGCCTGTTGCCCAGCTCTTGCCCTAAGACTTCCGTCTCCCGTGATGCTAAAAAATTTTCTCTTGTATTGGATACCACTTAATCCTTTTTCTCATTTACTTTCTATTTTAATGAAGCACATTATCTAGTAGCTTGCTGAAAAGGGGTACGTACAATTTCCATTTTATTGAGACCTTGACTGTCGAATTTTTCTTTATTTTACTTTTTTACTAGATTGATGGATTAGCTAGGTATAGAATTTGAGATTAGAAATTTTCTATTGGAATTTTCAAGGTGCTGTTTCACTGTCATTGAGCCTTCCACACTACTATTAAGAAGTGTGATAGCATTTTGATTATAAATTATTGTATATCACTATTTTTTTTTCCCTCTGTGGAAACAGTTGGGAAAATCTGTTCACCCTTGGTGTTCTGAAATTTCACAATGTGCCTTGGCTTAGGCTATTTTGTAAGTTAACTTTATCAAGAGAAACGCATTCTTAATTATTAACACATTTTCCTATATTTTCTTTGATGTATTCCTCCCCACCATTTACCAGTTTTCTTTTTCTGGTCCTGCTATTACTGAGGTATTTGATTCCTGGACTAAATCTCTAATTAAAAAATTTGCTTCTTTCCAGTTTCATTTTTTCTTCTTTTTCTTTTCAAGTGGTATGCTATATTTCTTTTAAAAAATACATTATCTCTTAATTTTTAATTTGTTTTCAATTTTGGCTAACATACTTTTATTTTTCAAGACATCCTTTCTTTTTCTCTGATCATTCACTCTTTTTCTATTATATCCTTATTTCACTAATGTATTATCTTCTCTTGTCTCTCCTTGACTAAGACCCTTTATCATGTTTGTTGCTTTGGTTTTGATATGGTTTGACTATGTCCCCACCCAAATCTCATCTTGAATTGTAGCTCCCATATTTCCCACGTGTCATGGAAGGGACCCAGTGGGAGGTAACTGAATGATGGGGGTGGATCTTTCCCATGCTGTTCTCATGATAGTGAATAAATCTCATGAAATCTGATGGTTTTATAAAGGGGAGCTCCCCCGCACATGCACTTGTCTGCTGCCATGTAAGAAATGACTTTGCTCTTCATTCGCCTTCCTCTATGATTGTGAGGCCTCCCTAGCCATGTAGAACTGTGAATCAATTAAACCTCTTTCCTTTATAAATTACTCAGTCTTGGGTACGTCTTTATTAGCAGTGTGTGAACAGACTAATACAGGTCTCTATCTTCCATTTTGGAAGTTTTCCATGTTTGGTATTCCTTTAGCTGTTCATATTAAAGAATAAACCACTAAAAAGTTGATTGGAAGTTCTGAATGAAAGCGTAAGGCTTTGAAAACTGGTGGGCTTCACTAGTGTGTGATCAAAAAGCCTGGACAGGTGCCTTTTTTTTTTTTTTTTTTTTTTAAATTATAGCTGCAGTATCTGTAGTTCTTTTCTCTGGGGATAGTTCTGCTTCTACAGAGGGGAATCTTTTAATCCTGATGATTGTGGAAATGATCCTGTTTCTGTGGTTCTGGAATTAGAAGGCAGATGGGTAGGGAAGAGATCTATCCGTCAGTATGCAGATTCTCATTTAATTCTTATTCTTGGTATGGCACATCACCGTTGCCCTTCTCTATGCCTATCTCTATACTTGGTGCCTCTCTGGTTCAGTTTCTTCATAGAATAAACTTCCTGTCTCTCTTAGTAGCTGGGGAGAGGTAGTTTCTTATTTATACAAGATGAGAGCAGGAATCTTGTCTCTAAATAATATTTTTAATTAAACATGATTTCAGTCCCTCCCTATTCATTTCCTCTGAGGTTTCACATGTCCTGAATTCCTAAACTTTTCTGGGATTCTGTGGGAGCAAAGTGGTTTGCGTCCTGACAGCCTTCTTGCCACTCCATCTGGCATGCATTTCAACTTTATCTTCCTTCTCCTCTACTCAATAGCTTACCATTTTTCTTCAATCTGCTTTTCACCTTCTTACTTCATATTGTAATTCAAGTTATAGAATGTTGAATATAGCTACATCATAGATAGAGTTTGATTTTTCTGATTCTTGTTCTTATTTAGGGATCTGAAAGTTTTCGAGGAGAAGTGGGGTTGAAATACCTCTATCTGCTATTTTCATCTCAGAAGTCCTCTATTTTGCCTTAATGATTTTTAGAAAGCGTGCCTGCAGGATATATAATTTCTCAAGGTCCTTATCTTTTAAAACAAGGATTATATAATTACTCATCAAAAATGTTACGAAGTGCAGTCTATAATTGCATGCTTCTTTTAATTGTACACTAACATACCTACATGAATAGAAATGAGCTTATAATTAAGTAGTCAGCACTTATGAGTCATAAACAATAATTAAAAATTATGTTGTGGGCAAAACAGCAAAAAGCAAATACCAATAACTAGAAAATAAAACTGTTTTTTGAGATTTTCATATACATGTTGATGAATAGAAAGGATTCACCAATACTGTTAGAAATCAGTACCTTATCATCTGGTTGAAATGACTGTTTGTTATTGTTGAAATTTTCCAACTAAACATGTTGGTGGCAGGCTGTTTAGCCTTCATACAGTTTTTGTTTTTAATGCAAAATGAGCATTTTTCCATAGTCATGGCCCTTTATGTAATACTATTTGCAAATAAATATTTGTAATATTGTTTGACAGCATGAGTATTAATACACATATTATAAAACTTAATAATTTAAAAAGACTTAGTTGTTTCTAAGTCTTAAAATTCCTTCATTAAAATCTTGTTTATACTATTAATTTTTTTTATCTAAAGAAAAATCGTAAATGAAAAAAATAAAGCATTTACTAAGAAGATAAATGCTAACTAAGCCCTTACTGAAATATCACAAAACCATGAATTTATGCAGTTTTAATGCATTTCTAATATCTGGTTATTCTGCTTTCTCCTCTAGCCACACTATTTTTTAAATTTGTGTGTGTGTATTTTACTGAACAGCCACACTATTTTTACTGGAATGCATTTAACACAGGAGTTAGAACCTCTGATGCATTTAGTCTGATTTACCTAGTGACAATACCTCAATTACTCTCCTAGGCAAATTATTTTCTTCAGAGTGAATCTACTTTTAATTTAACCTTCTAAGCAATTTTAATCCATTTTCTATACACCTTGACAAGGGTAATTATGAAAGGAAAAAAGTCATTATAGATGTATTACGAAATGTAGAGAAAAATTTCACTTCCAAAGACATAGATACATTTTTAGTTGGCGTTAGTAAATTATACACTTGGAAGTTACAAGAATATACTAGAGTGATTTCGTATCTGTAAGTCATGAAGGGCCAAGAGACAGATGGACCAGACATAGGCTGGAAATTCCATGCTTTGTGAGGTAAATAAATGTGTAGCAGTCGACATTTACTTGCTACCATTCTGTCTGGTGTACTAGTAATACCTGGACTGGTTTAATGGCTTGTTTCATGGGAGAAGCTCTAAACTTTACCTCAACATTTATGTAAAGTTAAAGCTGCACAGGTATATTTTTAATTTGAATTTTCTAGATTACATGTCTACATTTTCCTGAATTTCCTTATTAATAGCCAGGCTTATACAGACAGAAGTAAACTGTAGATCGTGTCTACAAAGGAAACCAATAGCATACTTTTTAGGTTGAAAAAAAATTACAATAAACCCCCAAATTTGCAGTAGTCAATATTTAAGAAGTAAACTTCACTGGGTAAAAATCAGAAATACTATAAAAGGTCTGAATTACTTAAGTTGATAAAAGTTCTACCTAGACAACCCCATGTTTATATGAACACATGTAATTAGAAAGGATGTCAGTAAGAACCTTCCTGGAAAGTGGTTTGGCAAATGCATCAAAATTCTTAAAGGATGCACAAAATATCCATAATAGTAATAATTGCATTATAACAATGAGAAAATAAAAGTATGATTAAAAAGGTAAAAGACTGTATTCAGTCAATGCAGGATCTATGTAGTATGGTCTTAACAATGTTCATATATGTGTAAAATATGCATTTATATGTGTGCATAAATATATAAACACTAAAGATTTTTGATAGTATTTATCACTTGATAATAGGCATATAGGTTATTTCTTCTTTATATTATTATATATTTTTCTGTATTACTATCAAAATGTATATTCCTATCAAAATCAGAAAAAAAATTATTTAAAGCAAATAGAAATAGCAGCAACACTAACATGTTCATAAAACTCAAATTCTACAAGAAAGAATAAAACCCTGGGGTTTAATGCTCAGGCAGAAATACATATCTTAGGGATTTTTCATAATATCAAATAATAATTGGATCCAAAGGTTTAGAAACACGATCAATATACTTTCTCTCTTGGAATCTGAAAATACATGTAAATATAAAATCTTAGCTAAAAAACATCACAAGGCAATGCTTATATTTAGAGATTACTAACAAGTTATTTTTCTTTTCTTTTCTTCTTTTTTCTTTTCCTTCATTGTCTTCTAGAAATGCAGAATAAACCAAGGCAAGTCATGTTCATCAGAATCAATTACTCAATTATTAACCAGTTTTAAGCACCTGCTACTGGGGATTCTGTAGTGAAGAAAATAAAGTTCTGGTCTGATAGAGGAGCCAATGTTATCTCTATTATGTAATGACGAAGTGCTATGAATAAAATAATATTCATTAGTATGCTATATTTCATAGATAATATAAGTATACAAAATTATAGATTTATTTGTTTAGCAAAGAACACAAAATTATCTTTATTATTTACTCTAAGGCATGTAATTTTTCTTATTTAGCTAATTAAAGAAATTGAAATTACTTGATTACTTACTCCAATATTAAACATCCCAGTAAAATATTCCATATTTGCTTGAATGAACCAAATGTTGCTTAAACCCAGTTCATCACTTCTCTTCTTAGCACGAATTAATGATAATTCCTTGTTTTCTATTAATGTAACCTAGATTTTACCCAGAAAACAATAGTATATTTAGTAACATAACTCAGACATTAGGCAAAGCATTATTACTATATTTCATAGCTTTAATAATGTAGAACATATTATATTGAGCCTCTATTCTGTGGCAGGAAGTATGTCACATAATCTGATACAGAAAGGAAAAATTAAAGGTCCTTGAACTATTCTTATAGCATAGTGATATAAGTGAAACAAGCAATAATAATACAGTGTAGGCCAGGTGTGGTGGCTCACGCTGTAATCCCAACACTTTGGGAGGCCGAGGCAGGCAGATCACTTGAGGTCAGGAATTCTAGACTAGCCTGGCCAATATGGTGAAACTCTGTCTCTACTAAAAATACAAAAATTAGCTGGGTGCAGTAGTGTGCGCCTGTAGTCCCAGTTATTCGGGAGGCAGAGGCAGGATAATCTCTTGAACTCGGGAAGCAGAGGTTACAGTGAGCTGAGATCGCACCACAGTACTCCAGCCTGGGTGTCGCAGGGAGAATCTGTCTCAAAAAAAAACCAGCAAAAAAACAAAAACAAAAACAAAAACAAAAACCAACCAACCAAAGAAATAAAAAAAACAAAAACAAAACATCAAAAAATAATAATAATACAGTGTGATAAGCGTTAAATGAAAGACAAACAATGTCGATGGGAGCACTCAAACTTGATGACTATTTTCATGGGGAAGTAACATATTAACTGAGGCCTAAAAAATGAATACAAATCAGTTGGGGGAATGGAAGAGTATTTTAGGGAGAGAAACACACATGAAGGCCCAAGATGACAAAGAATATGGCGTGTTTGAAGAACTGAGAAAATTGGTACACAATTTCCAGGGCACAGTCTGTAATGTATGGTATGGATTGGTGGGAGCAAGGCCAGAGGGCAGAGAAACCAGTTAGGAGCCTCCAGTGATAATCTAGGCAGAGAAGATGGTTTGAATGGAGAAAAATGAAAAGAATTAAGTCACTTTCATCACAATCATTCCTAGTTCTTATTTTGTTCTTATGCTTGTCTGTAAGAAAAAATCTGTTTAAAAAACCTGATACTTGATATGAAAGGCTTTCCTGACTCTATTCTAGACAAGATTACTCATTCTTGGTTCCAACCTTTCTAAGCTTCCAGAAATATTAATAAGGGGAAAAGATATTACATCCCTGACTCGGCTTCTCAGAATTTTACTCTGTGAGCTCTCTTCCTCCTACTCAATCACAAAATTGTTGCTTTACTTAATAATAAAACAAACACCTGCCTCTTCTCCCAGGATTCCTTATTTATTTTCCTGTTTATTCTCTAAGCAAAGAAAAATAAAAGAATGCTGTTCCCTGTCCCCTTGTCATCATTCTGTTATATGTTATTCTGGCCAGTCTATTAATTCTTCCACATTTTTTTTCTCCCGGAAGTATTCACTATAATTAGTTCACACCTTCCAGAGGGCTCACAGCAAAGACTCTGTTGCAGTTGAGTTTGTATTAAAAACAAAACAAAACAAAAACAAAAATAAACGGACTTTTATGCTAAAAAGTGGTCACAGTGAGGAACTGATTTAACATGGCAGAGGACTAAAATCAGCAAAAAATTCTAAGAAATTGTGGCAATGATTGAATACATTATGATATATTTACTTGAAAATATATTTGGTACTCTCTGAAATATGATGATATGTAAAACTATTAGCAATAGGGAAAAACATTTATGATACAATATTGAGTGAAAGCAAGGGACAAATTTTGTTTGCATCTTTAAAATTTGCAACAATAAGCATCCATATGGACAATGACTTAATGAGAAAAAGAAAAGCAAAGCATTTTGATGGATCAGGTATTGTAGGTTTGGGTTTCTTTTTTTTCCTTAAAAAATTTTGCTATTGTTATAATTTCGATGCAATGCATCTAAATCAAGATACCAAAAGAACATGCTCAGCAAGTTTCAGAGGTCAGTATTTCCATTTAAAATTATGTTGAAAATTAAACTAGTTGAATCATAATTATTTTATTTAGCAATAAAATAGCTATTTCTTTGAAAAATTACTTAAACTTATAAACCTCTTAAAAATTGATAACTGTTTTATGATCTTACTTTACTTTTTTTTCCTTAAGATTCTGAGTCTTGGAAGTTTATTTGAAAGAAAAGACAATGCCTGTGCCACATATTTGACTTGAGTGATTAGAAACCCCAGGGATAAACCAAATGTGGCTAGCTGAACTGTATAGTTTTTAAATATTTCCTTTTATCTCTTATTCTGGCTTTACCTGACATGATGGCAGCATGTGCGCAAGGACAATTCCAACATGGCCCTGAAAAAGTCAGTGAGATAAACAAGTTAGCTTTGGTCCCCACAGCTTTTCCTCATTCTGAAACCACAATCTTGCCAAATAAAAATGTGACCCTGAATATAATATAGAAAAGTCTCATAATCTTAGAAAGACTAAAAAAGATGAAAGGAGAGATATAATACCCCACCGCTGCAGAAATCCACAATTCTGTCACCAGGTTTGGCCTGATTTGTTACCACATAGACAAGGTTGTTCAACTGTTGCTGCTTCCTCAAAGCTCGATCACTGGACATTTTACCTGAGAAAGACAAGACATAAAGAACACAAAACATTATATATTTTGAGGGAACAAGAAGACACACTTAAAATAGGCTACCAGCATAGAGGAGGAGGAAGAGGGGGAGCATACACACACATACATACATATAAAAGAATAAATGATGAATTCCATATAACAGACTATGAGGACTAGAGGACTAGAACCTGAGATGAACTTTATTTTTGCTTGTTTTACTTTTATGTCTATTCAACATTTCTTTCAATAGCCATTGAAAGAAAATCTATGGGGAAAAATATGTCTTTTAAAGTGTGGAAATAATAACTGAAACACTAAATTTAGGGTCATAAACCAAGTATCCAATAAATGTTGGCAGAATGGAAAAAATAACAGTAATTGTCTTCTCCCTTTATCTTTTTTCAGAGACATATTTTAAAGAGTACCTAATTTCAACACATTGCTTAATCTCCTTATAGAGAGATCCATAATCAGTAAAAATATTTTTATTGCTTAATTGACACATCCTTGAACTCTTGATTCTTCTGTGTAGGACACTGGGAAACCTTGAAACATAGGTGTTGCATTGTCTGAAATAAATAAATGGTTATTGTATTTAGAGAGAAATTAGATTTTCTGTTTTCTGCTTTGAAGCTTCTTTTCCTCGTGAGTCAGACATAGAAATATAATGCAATTAGAGATTCAAGATAGGGCATTTCCAAGTATGAAATGCCTGGGGCCCCACAACATAAAAACATCTTAAATTTCCTTTCAAAATCGCTAGTCAAGTCCATGAAAATATCTTCAGAAGAATGAATGAAATTATTTGTTTTTACATATTTCAAGTGCATTCTTTACAAGAGCAAAATTTAGAAAATGTAAGACACCAGATTGCCATGATATAGATAAAAGGGAAAATCCAGATAATCTTTTTGGTTTGATAAAAAATTAAACATACTAAGTTTCCTTGCTCCTTTTTCCCAGAAAAATGGCATGATCTTTTTCTTTTCTTCTCTTTTCTGTTTTCCTTCTCTCTTATGTTACTAAGTTAAAAAGCACAGGAAAATATTATTTTAGGAAAGATTTTTAAATGTAAATAAATTTATATAAGAAAAATTTATGGCATCATAATTCAGAGATAACATTTCATGTATATGTATGGTTACTTTCAGTATTAATACATAAGAATTAAATTATTGGTGTATACGTTAACGATAGGCATGATAAAGATAATATTTATAGACGATCATAATTACAGAAGATAGAACATTTTTTAATAAGTAATAATAATAACTACGCAGTTAATATTCATAAATACATTCAATAAATTTTATGTGTTCATAGCTTAGGTAATAAAATATAAAATTTATGCATAATATGAATATTATATTATTATCATATTATATTTATTTATATATCTATTTAATTATCTTTTCCATAGTCAATGACATTTGGTTTCTATCATATATATATATTTCATAATGGACTGCCAGTAGTATTCTGATTGACTATACTAATCAACTGAAGTACCCAATTTCCTATTGTACTGATGTGAGCATCATCACAGCTGATTCTTTTGTCACATCCTTATTTAGCATGGATGAAGATAAACTTCAAATATGAAGAATATTTAAGTCAAGCAGCTGATGACTTCATTTGTGAAAACAGATTTGTGTAGCTTTTTAAAAGAATTATCTTCATTTTGTCTCTATTTTTTTTATTTTTATATTTATTTTTATTATTTATTTTTATTATTATATTTATTTTTTTAAAATTTATTTATTATTTTATTATAAATAAATTGTAAGTTGTAGTCATGTTGCATACGTGCAGGATTTTGTTACAACATAAATGAAAATATACATTTGCCATGGAATATGGTATGTAGCTGCACCCATCACTCGTGACATTTACATCAGGATATTAACTCACCAAGTAGCAATCACCTCCCCCACACCTCCCCCAAAATAGATAAGAGAACCAACGGTGTGTGATGTTTCCCCTTCCTGAGTCCAAGTGATCTCATTGTTCAGTTCCCACCTATGAGTGAGAACATGCGGTTTGGTTTTCTGTTCTTGTGATAGTTTGCTAAGAATGATGGTTTCAGCTGCATCCATGTCCCTACAAAGGACACAAACTCATCCTTTTTTATGGCTGCATAGTATTCCATGGTGCATATGTGCACACATTTTCTTAATCCAATCTGTCACTGATGGACATTTTGGGTTGATTCCAAGTCTTGCTATTGTGAATAGTGGCGCAATAAACATACGTGTGCATGTGTCTTATACGCAGCATGATTTAATACCTTTGGGTATATACCCAGTAATGGGATGGCTGGGTCATATAGTACATCTAGTTCTAGATCCTTGAGGAATCGCCATACTGTTTTCCACAATGGTTGAACTAGTTTACAAATCCCACAAACAGTGTAAAAGGTTCCTATTTCGTCCACACATCCTCTCCAGCACCTGTTGTTTCCTGACTTTTAATGATCGCCATTCTAACTGGTGTGAGATGGTATCTCATTGTGGTTTTGATTATGCAATTTCCTTTCTTGTGGCCAGTGATGAGGAACATTTTTCATGTGCTGTTGGCTGTATGAATGTCTTCTTTTCGAGAAATGTCTGTTCATATTCCTTTCCCGCCCAACTTTTTGATGGGGTTGTTTGTTTTTATTCTTGTAAATTTGTTGGAGTTTCTTTGTAGGTTCTGATATTAGCCTTTGTCAGATGAGTAGATTGCAAAAAAGTTTTCTCCCATTCTGTTACTTGCTCTGGTTCACTCATGATGGTAGTTTCTTTTGGCTGTGCAAAAGCGTCTTTGTTTAATTAGATTCCCATTTGTCAATTTTGGCTTTGCTCGCTGTTGCTTCTGGTGTTTTTACGCGATGAAGTCTTTGCCCATGCTAATGTCTTGAATGGTACTACTTACGGTTTTCGTCTAGGATTTTATGGTATGTAGGTCTAACATTCTCGTCTCTCAATCGCATCTTGAATTAATTTTCGTATAAAGGAGTAACGGAAAGGTCAGTTCAGCTTTCTACTTATGGCTAGCCAATTTTCCCAGCACCATTTATTAAATAAAGGGAATCCTTTTCCCCATTTCTTTGTTTCCTTCTCACCAGGTTTGTCAAAGATCAGTATGATTGTAGATATGTGGGTATGTATTTCTTGAGGACTCTGTTCATAGTTGCCCATTGGTCTATAATATTCTGTTTTGGTTACCCAGTAACATGCCTGTTCTTGGTTACTGTAGCTTGTTAGTATAGTCTTGAAGTCAGGTAGCGTGATGCCTCCAGCTTTGTTCTTTTGACTTAGGATTGTCTTGGAGATGCGGGCTCTTTTTTGGTTCCATATGAACTTTAGTGTACAATATTTAAACACAGAATAAGTAAAAGTTGTAATCCCACCCTTCATGGGTAACCACTCCTAAGAGATTTTTGTTATGACAACTTTCAAGCATCTAGCAAAACTGAAAGAATCTTAGAGTGAATGCCTTTATACCCTCCACCTACATTCTACCATTAACAACCTACTATACTTGATTTATCATACTTCTATCCATCCAAATATGCCTTATATTTTTATGGCAATGCAGTTTTAATTTGCAGGAGAAAGAAAGAAGGGGGGAGGAAAGGAGGTGTCAGAAGGCAAAAAGAAATGTACTTTGAGGCTCTTCGGAGACCTAGAGTCAAAAATACCGCTATTAAATGGAGTCACCATGAAGTAAGGATTGAGCACGAGTATTTCTGTCTTTGCTCTGTTTGTGGATTTCTTAACAGTTCCTAGCCAAAGAATTTTCATAAAAGAAAGTTAAAAGGAATGTTTCTGTTAAGGGTAAGGAGATAGGAAAACAATTATTAAATTGAATATCTAATATCAAGTTCTATACCACATTTTTATTAGAAATTTAGAATTACCTAACTTCCTTAGGTCTGTTTCAAAAGCAAATGCTGATGGAGATCTGTTTTTCTTGCTAATACTGCATCTTTGCACATAAAATACATGTTGAAATGAAAGTTGAAGGAAAAGGGGTAGTTTTCAGTGTTGTGTTTAAGTTGAGAGACCATACGCTGCATATAATATTCACAGAGATTGAGCTAAAAATACAGCAGCAAGGTGCTCAGATGCTTTATGGAAAAGCTGCCTCTAATAAAGCATTCTCTTTGCCCATTCTAGTTTTATAAATATTATGAAGCTCCAGGAAATATGAGCAGGATCTCAAATATATTCAATAAGGTAAAGAAGTGGTATTTTGGGATACAGTATTAATTTAAAAATCAAATCCTACTTTCTATTTTTATCCAGTATCCTTGTGCATGAGACATTATTTACAAGCATAAAATTACAATCTATTTTTAGCTTGACTAAAAATGATGGATCTCTAGTGTCATGGAAAAAGAAATCTAAGCATAGAATGTTTTAATACAAATGATGTCATTTGTTCTGCAATGCAATTCTTCCGCAAATGAGTTTTTTCTTTGTGTAATTTCAGTTAGGAGGTACTTGATTAGACACTTCAGTGTGGTTTGCATTGCCGGAAAAGAAAGTACAGGGGTAAAGGAGCCAATTTTTAAGCAAGGGGGAAGCCATGTTAAAACACTAGCATTTTTGGTTCATCCAAAGCATCAAATAATGAAAAAAAAAAAAATCACTGGAAAATGTGCACAGGTACCACCAGCACACGTGTTAAGTGTAGTAATTTATGTCCCAAATCAGGCAGCTCTAAATTTTTTGTTTCTTAGCTTGAAATAACAAGTATCTTACAAGTTATAACTTACTTATAAAAGAGTGTATGGATACACATTAGATGTCTTTACTAAATATTCTTTTGCTGTTTTGTTTTCAAAACATTTGTTTGAGATATAGCACACCAACAATATTCTGTGTGTGTTTTTTTTTTAAATAAGGAGACAAAGAAGAAGGCTAAAACTATGTTTAGAGCTTTTAAAAACACACCCAAAAGGTAAAAAAATTGAGAGCAAAACCAAATTTTTTCAACAGAGGTCAATGTTGTATACA